ATAGTGACAAAGTCATTGAGATGAACCCAAAAATGCTCCTAAGAAGACTTGTCAATACCCCCTTGGGGACAGTTACTGTTCCCGATTTAGAATTATTGTGTCTACTTAAATATAATATGCACAAGCAGCTACTGTCATATTGCAACAACGGTCACCAAAATCACGGACATCGCCCATTAATGTTATATAACGGTCACTCTCCTGTAGCTCAGGGTTCCCCAATCTTGGTACTACTGACATCTTGGGCTGGGTAGTTTGTTGTGGGGCTGACCTGTGCACCATAGGTCATTCTGTAGCATCCTGGCCTCTACCCACTGGGTGTCAGTAGCACTCCCTCCAGTTGTGACAACCAAAAATGTCTCCAGACATTGCCAAATGTCCCCAGAGAAGGGTGCAGAATCAACCCCTCTCCCCCAATGAAAATCACAGCTGAGCCCATAAATGTATAAAAATGATTACTTCTTATCAAGCACAGAGACAAAAAACATAGCCCTTATACGTACAAAGTTCCATGTCAAGCACGAGAGACAGATGAGCAGACAATTTCCAAGTAGAGAGCAAGGGCTATAATTCAGGTAACAGAGGTGTACCTAACTCGGATTGAGGAAACTATTCCAGAGAAGTCAGACGTCTGTGAGAACTGTGAAGGATGCAGAGCAAAGCTGAGCAGACAGAACAGCATGGGAAAAACACAGGACCTTCCAGGAAGAGCAAACACTTCAGAATAACAGACATGGGGCATCTGAAGCAGGAGGCTACTGGTAGGGCATGAAGCACCTTCTACGCTATACAAAGGAATTCGGTCGCCGTGCTGTGGAGCACAGATTGCTGTTTAAGCATGAAAGCAAAAAGTTGGTATCTATTTTGAGAACTTTGAATAAACCCCTGCTGCAGTGAGGAGTCAGCTATCTTCTCTGAGCCAAACTCTTAAAAGTGCAATGAACTGAAAAGGATGTTAACAGTCACAGGCAGCACTGAAGTGCAGAGGAGGACATTAAACATTAACATCTAGAGAAGCCTCAGTTGGAGGAGGGGGCCTCTCCTTCTAAGGGCACTTTCAGAGACCAGAAGACCAGAGCAAGAAAACGATAATCTGTCCTTTTTTGAAAAAGATAGGCTATACATTAAAAAACAGTGTAAAAATAAATATACCCAAATACAATCATTCTATAATAGTTAAAGGCACGCAAGCATAGAGATATAAAAAACTCAGTATATTTGTTTTGATATGAAAAAAAAGGTCCACTATAAGGGTAACGTTATGTGGTGATGAGAACCCCAAGGTCAAGGGTTTGATCCCTGTACCAGCCAGCTGTCCCCCCACCCCCCAAAAAATCAGTAAGATCATTTTAAGGTGTTTTTTTACTTTCTAAAATCTTGAAATTTAGCCAGAAATTGTGTTTAAATATCATTACAGATGAGCTTAACTAAGGACAATTCCTATTTACAAATGTAAGACAGATATCAAGCTACGCAATAAAGCACAATTTGACAGAAATTAAGGGTCTGATCAAGGTGTACATCAAATCTTAAGTAGGGTTTTATAAAAATGAGCCCATATGCAGAGAAAAATATCTGTAGGAACATGCATTAAGTGTTAATGTGGTTGTTGTTGAGGAGTATTGCAGGTGGAATATTACAGGTGGAATATTTCTTGTCTACTTTACTACATATTTTGAGCATTTCCTGATAACGGAATATTTCATACTCAATGTTTGAGTGTTACAAAATGAAATACCCAATATTTCATTATCAGGAAATACTCAAGACATATAGTGAGGTAGGCAATATAACGCTGGTTGGAACAGAAAGAGACGCACCATTA